ATCTAGAATCGTTTTGAAGGCGGTATCATTCATACATCGAAATAGTAACACTACATTCATGTAATAAACTGAACATTCTGTTTTTATTTCACAATTACTGAACTTTTAAAAAAACTTGCATCTTAGACACGTGTTGCAAGTTATCCTGAGGATACTATAAAAAATACATAGCATATGGTCTTTTTATCATTTTGTGTTTCTTATACGCATAATATGATATTAATATATAAACTGGTTGCCAGGGGCAATGATATTTGTATACCAGAACGCCAGATACGTCGAATAGGGAACGGTAACATGCACCCCAGACAAGAAAACAAGCAGTAAACTAGATCACAATGATGAAAAAGAGACCAGGGAACGAAGGTGTCGAATGTAGAAATAGCTAACAAATTAAATATTGGTCAATTTAGAAAGTCGTGCTTTTGGCGTTGAATGGTGCTAGACTAGGATCGCTTTCACACCGATGCTGAATGAATTGGACATTTATTTTGCTCGATTTGAACACTAGACGACGGTGTCTGTGTTTGAGCCATTTAGTAACTACAACCGTGCGGGCATGTTTGCATGGTAACATAAACCATACAGTCGAGAACGACAGTATATATATAATATATATATATATATTATGTATATGTACTCGAGCTAAATTTGCATTGTCCAAATATTTTTTTACCTGCGGACCTTTTTATTATTTACATTCAGCCCAGTTTTCAATTAAAAAACATGTTTTTCGATATTACAGTTACTTTTGTTGAAAGCCCCTCACTTTCCAATGAACATTAAAAACCTGACTCTAATTTATTGTTTTCTCTTTAATCCAGATTACGCAGCTTAAAATCGACAATAACCCGTTTGCTAAGGGATTTCGGGATAATGGGTTATCTCGCAGGTAAGTGATTTTTTATTCTTATATAATTTATTTTTAGACTAACAACAATGGATTTTTACATGCAAGGGTGGCTCCCTTGTGGCGCGAAGGGGCGAATGTAAGATTTTCGACGAAGTCTGGGTTACACCCCTCTCTCCCGATCGTACCATATCATTAAACGCGTGTACGGTACAAAAGAAATAAGGAAGAAGGCGGCCCTTTAGCGTGGCCCATTATTTCCATTGGGGTGACTAGGCAAGACCATTTTTAGCATCGCGTACAGATCATGTCTCCGCGTGTGTAGATTATTGCTGCATATTCTGGTTCTAGAACCGCCAGTAAAATAATGGCCCGACCATTAATGCTACAAAACGATCTGTCACGGATCACGTGGTCCGATTTTATCTCGCCTCTCCGGAACATAACGATTTTCACGGTCACGAGTTTCAGGGAAAATCAAAATAGACAGCCTCTTTATTAAGATATCCCGGCGTTGTGGTTGTATACCTAATGCCCGCCACCACCTCGACGCGCATAGCAGTTTCTCTGCGTGGTAGAAATAGTAATCGTTATTATTGGTGCTTGATCATTAGGAAATTCGAGAGCGGAGATATAAAAAAAAATATAAAAAAAATATACACATCATTTTCTCCTCTACTCACTTTTGAGCGGGATTTTTGTTTTCGAGGTGAGGCCGGTTTGTCCCGCTTTCTTTTATTAAAAGTGTTTTTTTTTTCCTGTCATTTCATAATAATATCAACTAAATATTATCCAGTTTAGCGAAATTATAATTTTTCTATACTTTATAATAATAATTGAAATTTAAAACAGTAGTAACGGAGATATTCTGGATACCGTGGCCGCACTGTCTATCCATCGGTTGGCTGGAAGTGTTAGCAACTCAATCCCATATATCATCCATTGTGTTTTGCGAGCGAAGGCAAGTCCCAACGGGTAACAATGCTCTACTATAACACATCATTGGATTATCTATCTTTGATTTTTATTATTATCGAACGTTTTATGAAAGCCTTGCTGACATGGTCCCAGGCGAACCCTTGCAATCGAAACCGTACACCGACCATCTCGTCTCTGAGCTCGCACATCGGGAATTTCAACCACAAATATGCACTCTGGCAAAACTAGTAGGTACTTTGACTCAATTCAACGTTCCCTTAAAAAGGAACCGTTGAGGGTGGGGATCATGATTACGGCGATGATGAGCACGCTGTCTGGAAAGCGTTATTTACTATTAAGCGAATCAATGTGAATATTGAAGTGTATAGGTAATAGTACCTCAAGTAAAACAATGTGAATAGTACAATATGTACAAGAACAGTACAGTGATATTTACTTAGTTTTATTTTAAAATTATAAATACGTAATTTAAAAGAATGTCGTTTTCCATACTAATTATCAACTTTCATCGGATGAGCAGCGTTTTGTTCATTATCTTTTAAGGGACGGCTACTTTTACGTTAGCGGTTTATTTTCCATTACTGTGACACGGCTATAATACACGGAATACGTTATTAAGGAGCTATCTTCATTGGATTCCTGTGAGACTTAACACCTATCTAACAACCGACAAATTGGAGTCGTGTTGTTTGTCTTCACGGAAAATAAATTCCAATTTCAATGACAAATTAATGGCGGACTAAATAAAATAGATTTGAGTTTGCTTAATAGAAAACATCTATAGTCTGGCTAATTTACTACCACCCACCACAAATCATTCCCTCTTAATGCCTTTCTATTATTATACTAAACCTTGGACTTCTTTTTCGGTTGTTGGGGGGTAGTGCTGATCAATGATTTGGTCAAAAAGCGTGTCTCGCTTGACGAGAAAGCCCTACTGCAGATTTGTTAACACTTTCTCCTTCGCCTAACAACGTTTCACCTCCATGGAAATATAGTCCCCGAGTATCTGCAGTTTACATCAGGCGGAAATTGCTTATCCACTGATCAGTTTGATCGTAAATTGCTCGCTGAGATATATTACTGATGTAATTCGTTCTGGCATTTGGTATTGTCTGAATGTTATGAAATCGACTCGATTCCAAGATGGATGACAATGCCAGTGAAATCAAACAAGTTACAGTGTTAATATATGCATGACAAAAAAGATAGGTAGATTGTTAATATCCATTTAAATAATATCGGAATTTATTGACAAATCAGCGTATTCGGTGATGTTGTGCTCGCCGGGCGGTGCAGTATGGATTCTGTGCGCGTGAACGGGCGCGATACTTGCGGTAGTAATTCATTCACCGGATAGTTTAGAATAATATATAAAAAGTAGCAGTAACGGTGGTTGTGGGAAGGTAGGTAGAGAAGATTTGTTCAACATGACAATGCCTGCCTAGCGATGAATTATTGCCTGCTCCGCGCTGTGTATCATACAACGTGAATTAAACCACGCTTATATTATTACTGATAACTTGTTATATAATTTCACCCAAGACTGTTCTAACACAGTGTGAAACACAACATCTCCGAAACCTGAAATGTCACCGACGAAAACAACTATACAGTCGGAATAAAAGAATAATAATATTATTATGGAGCTAATAAAATAATAATGCACACGACATGATCTGCGTTGTTATCAGCGGTTGTATTAAATTGCAATCATGTTAGACAGAACCGTTGAAATTTGAGACTCTCAGGGAGCCCCAACAAGCATATTGCCTGGCACGTGCGGATATCGAGTTCAAAAGCGTAACGTCAGCCAGCGCAACATGAAGTCTGTGAAGTTAAAGAGCAAACAGGAACAAATATCATTTAATTAAATACTAGAACGCATTTGACGATAATCCTCGGGTTTTGTCTCGGTTGTAAGATGGCGTTTTAAAATCCTGTTATAACTGTCGTTTTGAACGCTAGCTTGAATGATATCACTGGGGAACTGTCGCGTCACTTACAGTCATGTCACTGCTCACGCTGCAAATCATCCATCTCAAAGAATGGCTGAAAAGAACAATTAATATAACATAACAATACATGGCAGAGAGAGAGAGAGAGAGAGAGAGAGGCAGAGAGTGTGTTAGATATTGTCAGCTTTCTCCCATGTGATGTATTAATGCTTTCCCATAGACTCTCCTGAATACCGGGGCTCTGCTCCCTATTCTCGCACATTCAACTCTCATTTTGGGTTTTAATTCATTTTTTCGATAAATTAGGTATTGAATTATTTAAAACTATGTTCATTCAAGACTTGAATACGAGAAATGATAAAGCGCAGTTTTACGCACCCGGAGCGTGACTGGGATATTACTCATTCGCAAGTAATCAAAAAGCTATATATCATAACTACGTTCACACTGTGCGATAAACCTGTGCCAGGATTGTTCAAATTAGAGATTTACGTTGATCATTTTACAAGTTTA